TCAGCAGTGCCACGTCCCAGTGCCAAGTCACAGTGCCACGTCAGCAGTGCCACGTCACAGTGACAGATCAGCAGTGCCACGTCACAGTGACAGATCAGCAGTGCCACGTCAGCAGTGCCAGGTCACATTGCCCCGTCAGACATAGTGCCACGACAGCAGCACCACGTCAGACACAGTGCCACGCCAGCAGTGACGTCCGACACAGCGCCACGTCAGCAGTGCCACGTCAGCAACATGACGGGCCTGCCAGGCCAACTGGCCAATGAGACCATTGCCGCCTACAAGCAGCGTTGCCTGGCTCAGATAGAGGCTGAGGAACAACGCCTGCTGGCCGTCGAGGCTGCCCGCATAAAGGCTGAAGAGGCAGCAGCAGCAGAGAAGCTGCGGCTACAGGCCGATGCAGACGCAGATTCCCAGGCTCGCCGCAAGGAAGCCCAGGATCTGCTACAGCGGCATGAAGCCACAAGCATCGACAAACTCAAGTTCTGGCTTTTTAAACCGAACGGCGACGAGGCAACACCGGAAGAGCAGCATAAGGAGTTCCTCTCCAAACTCGTGACACGGTTGCTGTATGCTTGCAACTACCAGCGGTCAGAGTTGGAGAGACAGCACCAGGACCTGACGCAACAACATCAGGAGTTGGCGACGCTCCGCCGCACAGTGCAGTGCCATGAGGATGCAACTCGGGCACTCAATGCCCGATTGCTAAACCTGGAACAGACTGTACCAGGACCAGCTGCTGGGGCTTCCAGCAGTGCACCCCCTAGCCGCCAACTGGAGGACCGCGTTGACCACGTAGTGGCAATGCTCGGCGACATCAGCACTTTCGCTGCGCCGACCACCACCATCAGCAGTCAGCTGCATACATTGAAGACCGAGGTCCAGCAACTGCAGACGACGAACGCAAATGGCAATCCGAAGATGTATAAGATGCCAACGTTCACTCTGGAGAAGTTCGACGACTACACGCAGCAGGATCCGGTCCTCTGGTGGGAAGCATTCACAACGCAACTCAGGATTCTGCCCGTAGACAAGGATGCGTGTGCATCGGCTCCCTGTTCATGAACTCAAAGGGCGGATGCCAGACCTGGTTGACCCACCTGGCAACCTCCCACGGCGTCGACGTACCAGACTTGAAGGATGTAATCACATGGGAGGAACTGACACGGTTGTGGAAGAAGCGGTTCATCATCGACGACGCGCCAGCACTCGCCATCAACCGACTGTTCACCATGTCACAGGGCAACACAGCAACACGGGACTGGCTCACGGAGTGGCAGAAGATTGCGGCTGCGCCCAATCTGAACTTACCATTCGAGCATCTACGTCGTGAGTTCTACAACAGGTCCTCTGCTGCATTGAGCCAGGCTCTTGGTGATCGTGAGCAGTACGCCACCTTCGTCGAGATTATCGACAAGGCGCGAGAGATCATCAAGACCAACAGGTCAGCTGCACATGAGAAATCAACAAAATGGCAGCCGACCTATGTGGAGAAGGTACGAACTGGTCCGCGACAGCAGCACTTCGCTGCAGTCCAGCGATACAGTGGGGATAACCCAGCAGCCACTCCAGCATCAAGTGACGGGGATTAGGTGGCTGCTGTCCAGCCGCGAAGCACCAACAAGTCCCGCAACAATGGGAAGGCGAAATCCGCATCGCAGACCGGAAATGGACAGCCAGGACAGTTTCCATGGGTCAAGTTTGGCTTGACCGAGGCGGAGTACAAAGTTCGCGGCCGCTACGGCAGCTGCTATTGGTGCAACAGCACCAAGCACAAGACCTCCCTGTGCCAGGATCAGGGCAAGGAGGATGTGCGACCCCGCCTCAGCTCGGGAAACTGAGCTTCGCGGAAGGTGAGGCGACTCCACCTTCCACTCCGCTAGATTCAGCCGCCTTGCTAGCGGCCTCCTGCACATCTGGGGAGGATGTGAATGTCGCAAGTCCTCGGTATACTTACGAGGATTATGCTGTCCACTTGGTTCCACCGCTGGACCAACCTCTCCACGTGCAACAGTCCACCGCATGCACGGTTTCATCACCATCGGCAACCGATTCGGCAGCTTCGCCGCAACCTATCGCCGAGGATTCGACGTCATGGTCAAGACTTGAAGAGCTCGACCCATTGACGTTCACGGACTTCCAATGGATGCCCGTTCCCTCGACCGGACGATTGTCGAAACCGCATTGCAATGTGCTCATGGCACAATTGCGGGACTACTTGCACAC